TGTGTGTGTGTGTGTGTGTGTGTGTGTGTGTGTGTGTTCATCCTAAAAGCATCCTGGCTTGGGGTTTAGAAGATCTGGGAGTTTATTCTAGTTCTGTCGGTAACTGGCTGTGTGTCCCTGGGACATTCCTTTCCTTCAGTTTTCCTATTTGCTTAAAGAGGGTTTAATTTCAGCTGTGGCATTTAAGTTTGTGATTATATGTACCTGTGCTTGAGACTAAGTGGAAACCATGCTGAGCTTTTTCTTTCCTTCCTTCTTTCCCGTCCTTCCTTCCATTCATCCATCCAATCTATCATCCATCCATTTGTCCATCTGTCCATTCATCCGTCCATCTGTCTGTACATCTATCCATCCATCCATCCATCCATCCCATCTATCATCCATCCATCAGTCTGTCCATCTGTCCATATGCCTGTACATCTATTCACCCATTCATCCATCCATTCATCCATCCATCCATCCATCCATCCATCCATCCAATCTATCATCCATCCATCCGTCCGTCCATCTGTTCATCCATCCATCCATCCACATGCCTGTACCTCTATTCACCCATCCAACCAACCAACCAACCAACCAACCAACCAACCATCCATTCATCCAACCGGTTGCCTTTGCCTTGATGTTGACCTGGTCAGAAAGCAGACTCCAAATGCTGCCCCAGCTGAACTTTTCCCAGATGTTTGCCCCGTCCTCTCCTCTAACCAACATTTACTCCACCCAAATCCCCAAGCATGGTTGTGCAGACCAGCAGCATGGCCCTGGTTAGAAATACAGAATCCTGGGTCCTGCCCCAATCTCCTGAACCATTTTTCACAAGGTTCCCTGCTGATTTGTGTGCTTGTCACAGTTTGAGAAACTCTGCTCTAGATTCTAGAGTCTAGGACATTCTCTCCAAACTCAATTAGGAGATGGGGGCGGGGGAGACGTTCTAGAGAAGAGAGGAAGCCTAGGGCAGGAGGGACCTCCTCTCTTGAAGGTATGTGGTCCCCCACTTTGGAGCATACCAGTGGTATCTATCTCATCCCCAGCCTAGAGGACCCACATGGCTGTCTGCCACCCCTTTCTTTGGCTTTGCTTTCTCAACACACCCCTCCCGACCAGTGTCCTCCACACCCAGGAGCACTCACCCAGAGCGTTGTAAGCAGGGAGCACCTCAAAAGTGATGCTCTGCCATTTGGTGGACAGCTGGAAGATGAGCCTACCATGGAGCTTCCGGATCTCCATTCTGGCCTCCAGCTTCATTGTGAGCTGACAGGTTTTCAGCCCCTGCCAGATCTTGCTGAGGATTTCATCTTGGCTTTTTTTCTGATCCTGAAACCGCTCAAGGTCACTCACAAAGATGACAATCGTACCATCGGAGTTGCCCCTCAACATCGTTTTCCTGCCACAGGAGCCACCCTGTCAACGATGGAGAAGCAGACGTGAGAATCTGGACCCTTTGGTGTCACAGGGCGCCCCTGTAGGCGATAACACTTCTCCAATCAAGCAAAAGCCACGAATGTCACCGTAGTCCTAAAATTGAGTGGCTGGCCACCATCTGACCAATAGGATGCTCACGGCAGCACTTTTCACACGAGCCTCTGCCTGGAGGCCATTCAAACGGCCATTGACGATAGACGAACAAATGTGATGTATTCGCACCTTGGAATACTGTTCAGCAACGAAATGATAAACACATGCCTACATACAACGTCAATTTTGTAAGCAGGATGGGTCAAAGAAGCCACACGCTAAAGCCCCACCATGCGTGATTTCATTTATATCAGGCAACCTGATACAGAGGAGGGTCGGGGGGTAGGTGTAGGTTACACAGGTTATGTTGTTTGTGGCAATCCACCGGACTGGGCACTCAGCTCTGTGCACTTTGGTTTTCTTACATTTTATGTTAATTAGAAAAAAAGTTAACAACACCGAGAGGCCAGACGGCATAGCGGTTCAGGGTGCATGCTCCTGGGGCGCCTGGGTGGCTCAGTCGGTTAAGCGTCCGTCTTCGGCTCAGGTCATGATCTCATGGCTTGTGGGTTTGAGCCCCGCGTCGGGCTCTGTGCTGACCGCTCAGAGCCTGGAGCCTGCTTCAAATTCTGTGTCCCCCTCTCTCTCTCTCTCTCTGCCCCTCCCCCTCTCATGCTCTCTGTCTCAGAGTCTCTCTCTCAAAACTAAACATTAAAAGAAAGTTGAAAAAAAGACAGATTTAAAAAAAAAAAAGGTTCATGCTCCCAACACTATCTGGGTTAAAGTCCAGCTTTGCCTCCAGCTAGTAAATAACTTCCTCGTGCCTCAGTTTCCTCATCTGGGCCAGGGCGAAAGGACACCGAGTGTCCAGGTATCTTTCCTGCTGGGGCTGTTGGGCATGCATAAGGCAGAGGCCAGAAATCACTGTGACTGAAGAGAAGCGGGGCTCCAGGGCTAGTGAGCGTGAGGGGGTTGTTGGGGGATCTCTAACTCCCTCCCACCCTAGGGTCCCAGCACCTTCCCAGCAACTTTTCCTCCCCAGAGGCCCGGAATCTCCAGCCTCAGCCCTGGGATTTACACCCACAGCACCAAACATTTCTACCCGCTGAGAGACGCCCCCTGTTGCCCTTGAGAAACCACAGAGCCACCTTTGGGTAGTTTTACCGAACTCAACCGGCCTCAGTTTACTCCTCTGTAACATGGGGAGGATAGAAACGATAACAGTGGGTAATCACAGCTCATTTATTGGCCACCAACTGTGTACCAGACCCTGTACTAAGAACATTATATACTTAAGCCTCATTACAGTTTGAGGTGCGTATTATTCCTCTCCCATTTTACAGATTCAGAGACTGAAACAGAGAGGTTAAGCACCCTGCTGCGGGGCGCGCAGGAGTAAAGGCAGAGCTGGACCGTAAAGCTGTGCCCCTAGGCTCCACACCATATCCATCATCCCACTCGAGGGCGCAGAGGACAAGGCGAAGCCTGCCTCACCCACGGCCTGTCACCCAGAAGGTGCTCAGCCCCATGTCTCTCTTCCTTCCGGTGGCCACGGCACCTCCTGGCTCCCAGAAGCCCTGACCCCAGCCTTCCACTCACTTTAGCCACACATATCACTTGGGGGAGCTGCCTGGTTTCCTCCAGGAAGGCACAGATGGCGTTCACCGTGTCATCGATCTGTTTCTGACATTCTCCATAGGGCCTCAGGGAGTTCTGAATCAACTCCTCCAGCTTCTCCGGCTGCACGGAGTACAGATGCGACCCCCAGATGCCCATCGCTCCTGCCGCTCCTGCCGGCTGCTAACCGTAGATCTCAGATCAGCAGAGAGGAGAATGCGCCACTCGCTTGCCCAGAGCCAGGAAACGGCAAATCACAGGAAGAGAGTCTAGAAACCGAAACTCACAGGGTGAGTTTCCAGCTGACTTCCTCAATCCAGATTTCTGCCCACCCCCACAGCGTGGACGTCGGCCGGTCGGCTCCTCGGGAGGCAACCCTGTGGTCAAACAGGCAGACTGATACGTGCTACGTCGTCTGCCCTATTTGTGCCTCAGTTTCCCCATCTGTGAAATGGCGATGACAACGGTACCTCTCCGGTAGGGTTCGTGTTAGAATGGGCAGACACTTGGCAAATGCTGTTTGAGAAGCTGTTAAGGAAATAATACTACTTTACAGGCGATAGAGGTCATCCTTGGAGGCTCTTTTCCTTTTCCCCTTGTTAAAAAACAAAATTCAATGCTTGTAAATTTGAAGATCGAATTGGCTTTATGAAGTGATTCACACATTGGGCAGTATCCCACCTAGCAAGTAGAAAGAGCTCCCAGGGTTGTGCACAATGGAAGGTTTTTCTAGGAAGGAGGGCGGGGCAAGAAGCTTGAGCAGGAAAAGAAAGGAGTGTCTCAGGCCAGGACATCTGCTTCGGGCAAAGAGACCGGGCTGGCAGGGTGTTTATCCTGCAGATGATGTCACTAGTGCTGATCGGGAAATTTCAGAGGGATTTTTCAAAGGTCACATTCCTGGCATAGGTTAAAAGTTTAATTCAGGGGCGCCTGGGTGGCGCAGTCGGTTAAGCGTCCG